GGGGGGGAAGCTCACGTGGTCGCTTTGCTCCCGCAGTCATGCACTTGGGAGAAAACGGAAAGAGTGAAGAGTCACGAGAACCAGGTTGTCTCCCCGATTATAGCGCAGAGCCTCAGGAAGGCTGTGGGTCATTAATTTCCCTGTAGTGGACCTGTGTTTTCTGCGTGGTGGCTGTGGCGCTGGGAGGAAGGACAGTGCTTCAGATTCAAATCCTGACTTCTACTTGCTGCAGTGTGTCACCTTGAGCAAATTCCAGATCTTTCAGACTGCGTCGTCACGAATGTAAAACGTTAACAATCAGTACCTACCTTGTGGCAGGATTTAAATGAGTTAACGCGGGCGAATGAGACCAGAGCTGTGTAGGCACCGAACTCTAATTTCCGGTTTGCTCTTAATGTAAAAATGCCTGTTTTAGGATGTAGGAAAGGGTGAAAGGGGATGTTCTCTTTGCATCCCGAAGCTTTCCTATTCTTTTGACGTAAAAATTGATTTCTGGTCTCCTACAGGGTATATAATGTAGTTTTGACATTAATAAGATTTGCTGTGCACATTTGAGGGCATTCTGTTGTGCAGCTTAAGATCAAAAGTAATCATGCCTGGAGATTAAAGTCGTGGTTTCTTGTCAGGGTTGTAGTGAGATTGAAGAATTTCACCAGAAATACTTAACAGGCTTAGAATGTTCTGGAGCCCTCCCCACCTTTTTGCCATCTCTAGCAGCAGGGCACCGAATAGCAGAAACAAAGATGCTGTAAATCATTGCTATGTCTGGGACATCTATGGAGGCTTGAACTACACATGAGTATCCTCTGACCTACCTCGAACATCTGATGGAGTTCTATGAGTAACAAAGTTACAGAGTTACAAAGCTCTTGGTCCCAAGGTCATGTCTGAAAAAGAAAAGTGCATGTCCTGGTGCAATGACCCTACAATGCAATTCTGATGTAATTCTGGCACCTTAAAATGTACTCCTCCCTCAACCTTCAGTTCATTTCAAGGTTATAAAAAAAATTGAATAAAAGGGCTGATCTGTTAAAGGTGCTTAGGGTTCTGCCATTTAAAACAATAATTTGGGGGGGGGGGTGTGAAGTAGGTGAAGGAGATTAATAGTACACTTATGATGAGCCCTGAGTAAATGTGTTAAATTGTTGAATCATCATACACCTGAAGCTAATGTAACACTGTATGTCAATTGTACTTGAATTTAAAAAATAAATAATAAAAATTTTAAAACAATTTTCAAAGCAGTTATTTGTAAGGGAATTGTTTCACAGTATGTGTTTTTTGTTTTGGGTTTTTTGTTGTTGTTGTTTTGTTTTGTTTTCATTTTGTCCATGGGCGTACTTTTGCTCATCTGTGGTATTTAGCCCTTCAAGTTGGCAAATACTTGCTAGACAACCTCTTTGCGGGGGTGGGGGGGTGGGGGGGCAGCCAGAGTGAGTAGTC